AAGTTGAAGGAGGTTATCAACAGCAGTATGAGCTTGGCTCAATGTGTGGAAGCCCTCGTTGCAGCTGACAGATGTGCGGAGAAAGAATACGAGTACAAGTTGTCGCGCATTGGTCGATTCGTCAACTCGAACTACGACGAGGAGATGGGGAATGTGCTTAGGTTCACCACTCACTTCGTTCCGGAGAAAATTGAACCCCAATACGCCGCTGCATTGTCAAAAGCTGCAACATACTCGTACGAGGCTCACAAGAACAATTCGGATGAGGTACTTGTGCTCGGAACCTTTTCGTGCAATGTACCAACACAAACGACTGGCGTTGCGACTGTGAATTTTCGAAAAGTATGCGCTTGCCATGCCGTCATGCCATCGCGTACAGGCGCCACATTCAGTTCGCAGGACCAATGATCCCATGGAGTTGTATTGACGAAACGTGAGATTAATGTATAAGTTGGTACAGGATATATCCAGGATTTTAACAGGATTATGTGTGTTCGTATAGATGGACAAGTCCTGTCACCAAGCTCAAGGTGGTGCGGCAGCTGCAGTACGAAACTTTCAAAGTGATATACGTGAAAACCAACGAAAGAAACGAAGGACCCAAGCGGATCGCTATAAAGAAGCTGTTCGAGCGACGCATTTGATAGCGTCGGAACTCGCTGATCTGTCGGACGACCAGGACTTTGAGGACATGCTTCAGTATGTATTGGAGCAGTGGAGACACGTGAGGCAGAAGATGAAGCTGCCTCTTCAAAGCACAGAACTCAAGCGCGAGAGTGAAGAAGTGTCAGAAGATTCGGCTGAGAGCCAAACACTGAACATCGAGAAGAAAGATACGCGAGAAGTAGGTTTAAGGGTTCACATCAATCCAAAAGCGAGGAAGGTGGGGCGTCCGCAGAAACACCGAAAGACAACTGCTGCAAGTGAGCGAGCCGACCGTAAATGGTACAAGGCTGCCGAGTCTGGACGTGCTTTAGCCGGAGCGGATACTCTAGAAGACTCTTCTATCTTTGTCGCGCGATCAGCCTGGACTTCAAGAAACTGAACGGCGTTTGTCTGGAGTGCTGACAAAGTATCATCAGGCCACCGACAAGAAGCCCTTGTTTAGAAAAATGCGAAATCCTGTACTAGTCCTGGATCCGTTCTACATCCTACCATCCAAGCTTCTTGATCACTGTATGAAGGTTCTTCCAGTGGGAAACACATTGCATCAAGCAGTGTGCGTCGATACTGGATCTTCGGGTGATGCTGGCCCCACCGCGGTAATGGAGATTATCCAAATTAAAGACGTGGGGTCTTTTTCGCGTCCGCAGATCCAGTTAATGGAGAATATCGACTGTTTAAAGGCGATCGTGCAGCAAGGAACCAACACGCACAAATGGATCCTCGAGGAAGGCCTCTCTGCGCTCCCTGCGCAGTACCACTACTTGGCAAAGCAAGTTGCAGACGAAGTTATGAATACCTACCCATACAAGAACATCAATGGGCTGAGTGGCTCAAATGAGTTGGTATATTCAATGTTGTACCGAGCCGTACCACCGGCGTGGCTATCGGACGCGTGCATCCGCGGACTCGCTATCAGACTCGTCGCCGATAACCCCTCGGCCCGCTTTGCTGGATTTCAGACTGTCACTACCAGAACCTCACGTGCGCGAGCTGTTGGAGAATCGCTGGTCTCAAGTGACGTTCTCGCCCGACTCATACATCAAATAGCAGAAGTGGGTGTGGAAACCGCATTGCTGGCACTTAACTTCCACAACGCACACTGGTGTTGCATCGTTGTAAAGGTTACAGACAAGCGAATCTTCTACTACGATCCTTTAAATCAGAAGCCGTACATGCGGGCTGCGAAGGAAGTGGCTACGTACCTAAAGCACAATGGTCTCGCAGAGTACGACGTGGTCTCGCAGAACAATCCGGTGCAGTTCGACCAGATGAGTTGTGGCGTTTTCGTGTGCTGGATGTTTATGCGTAAGGTCGTTCACGGCTTGACGCACGACATGAACGACAACTGCCTTGCTCAGCGCAGATTCGAGCTCTTCTACTATATCTTGACCGGACACTTGATAGCGCCGATCAAAAATACCCCAGCGACTAGTGACGTTGAGATGCAGCAGGCACCTCTAGAAGACAGGGATCCGACCCCAACACAAGATGAATTGGGCGGAG